TCAGGCTTTATCCCACATTCCATCAGAATTCAGCTAGGATTGTGGGGTTTTCCCCCTAGTCCTTCCTGAAGCCAGAGAAGGAGAGTCCCTGCTTTGATCCAAGGTAACCGATGTAAAGGGCTCACATTGGTAGCAATGTCCCAGAGATGGGATCTCTTTCCCTGCTATTCATTGTGGATGCCAGCTTCTGGAAGCTGGGATATGGCCCTTTGCATTTTCCTCAAGAGAAGGCCTCACTCGCTGGTTCAAGACTGTCCCTCCTTGGCATGTTTTTTGGACTATAGGTATGTAGAAGCAATTTAATAATCTGCGAAGCCCAATCACTTCCCAATCATTTAGCGTTTGTTATAAAGAATATTGTTTCTCTGGGAGCAATACCTGTCAGAAATTTGAAGGGGGAGTAGTTACCCCATTGTTCCTTTCCTCTCAGATTTTAATTAGAGATGAAATTGGGGTTTGGTTTGGTTTTGTCACTGTACTGGGAATTGAATCCAGGGCTGTCCAGCATACTAGGCAAGTGCTCTGCCACTGAGCTACCTTCCTAGCTCTTGATATCAGGTCTTGAGGCAGGTGGGTCACAATTCAGAGTACTTATACTTTAGGGACATCCTGTGTTCTGGTTACTGTTTCCTGTTTTAGTAGTAGAGTTTCCTTGAGGCTAACTCACAGAAATTTCTAACTAAAGACTTTAAGGGTGATTGCTATGTACTCGTTTTTTCAGTTAATCATTCATAACACCTTTCCCACCTTCTGGAATTTACACTGATTTCTTTAGGCTAGTCCTGGAAGTTGATACCTTTTGACAAAGCTTAGATTGAGCAGAAAGTTGTTTGAGTCCCTGTTCAAATGGTCTTTGGTTTCTCTCTGCTTGTTCACCTTTGCCCGTGGCCCTGGCAGACCATGCTGAGCTGAAACCTTTGCCAGGGAATTTAAACTCTTCCTCTGCCACCTTTCCAAGGTGGGAGGCTGGCAGAGAGATTCTACAGTGCTTGATAATCACTTGACCATGCTGAAATTTCCAAAGGGAGCTCTTTCCGGTGCTTAAAACCAAATTCCAGGACATTAAACTTAAAGGGAATTCCAGGAATCCAGCACAGCATGTTCATTCTTGTTGCTGTGTTCCTCTTCAGCTGAGTCTTTTAAGAAAAACAAAAGGCCCAGGCCAAGAGCAGTTCTTACTGGGAAGCAGGGGAGTGGGGGAGGAACACTAGTTTGAGCTAAGGGGCCAGTTGGGCCAACCATCCTACTCCTTCCTGGTGTCTGATCCAAATCACCAAGTCCCTTGCACCAGTGCCTTGCCTTTTACCTGCAGACGAGCCCCCTTTTTCCACCGGGGTGAGGAGACCTCCACAACCCCAGGGTAAACCTTAAAGAAAGTGTTTAGAAGAGCCGCGAGGATGCTCATGTATTCTGATGTCCATTTTAAGCATCTTTTTAAAATATTTTGTATAAAAAGCTTCCCTGTCTAGTACCACCAGTTCCAACCACATCAAATGGAAAAGCAGAGACTGCCAGCACTTTTCTTGGTCTTCCTGTCCTCTCCCTTGATGTGTTTGTTGTCCCCTCACCCCTCCCATCCATTCACTGTCGGGATGGTTAACGGAGGGCACCATGCAGTTCTGAGGCAGTCCTGTGTGATTCCATGACCAGTTTTTGTTTTTAACTGTTCTTCCAAATCAGCAGGTGTTTGGAAATTAGCGGGGGGAAAATCAATTCTCACCAATGGTTGCTGTTACAGTTAAATCAATAAAGATCTTGAGTATCAATGTGGAGTCTTGTGCTGAAGGTTGAACCCAGGCCGTTGAACTTGCTAAGCATACACTTTACCCCTGAGCTACTCCCTGCACACACCCAGCCTCAATTTGGTGTTTTAGTTTTTTCAAAGTTTCAGGTGAACTATTGAGGGTTATTTCACATCTGTGGAGTCTTCGCTGATGGGGCAGAGAGTAGAAGTAGTTGGCAATTTTGTGTACATCATCCCTGAGGAGGCCCACATGCCTTTCCCTCTCTCTGAAGGGCTGTTTCTGGCCCTTGGGAGCCTTCATTAGACAAGTGCATGTCTGGTGTCTTAAACCAAAGTGTGCTGCATGAGCATCAGACTCCTGCTGTTAAACCAGCAAGTCCCCAAATTAATACTAAAAAAAGAATCGTCCTCTCATATTTTACAGTCTGTGAACAGAGCCCACATGACCTTAAGTTTTCCTGTAGGAAAATTATTATGTGGGCTCTGTTCACAGACTGTAAAAGGTCCAGTTTTATTTCCAGTGCAGAGGTTAAGGGCAGAGGCCTTGGAGTTGGGTAATTTCATTTCCAACGTTGCTGCTGGGAGCTGAGTCGCCTCCATACAGCAAGATTCAAGTCTCTTGTCCCTTGGTTTTCTCTGGAGTGAAGAAAGTTTTTCAAATGTGAAAGGGGGGCGGGGGTTCTAGATTGTCATGAGGCTTGGGTAGGATCATGGAGCACACTTAACCTGGTTGCAGATACAGAAAGTTCAGGATAAACAGTTCTTGTTAAAGAACTCAAGCCCAGCTCTGTTGGCCTGCACACCCAGAAGCTAGCTGTTCAGCTGGGTCTCCGTTCCCTCCATGCACAGGTGTGGGAGTGGAGCAAATTTGACCACTGAACAGGCACCCAGGCTGGGTGCAGTAGTGCACACCTGTAATCCCAGCCTGGCTCCTGTCTAAAGAAAGGAGAACAAAAAAACCTCTGTAAGGGAAGATGGGGACAAAATAACCTGGAAAGCGCTTCCAGACATCCTGTGCTCTGCCCTAAAGGCAATTAGGACAGAAGGATAGGGTCTTATTGATAAAAAGGGAGGTTTTTCAGGTGGAGATAGCTCTTGGTTATGGTGCCATCTAGAGGCAACAGCCACTTCCTTGCCTGTGATTCCATGTTTCTGCTGCCCTCTTAAAATTTGTCTGTTTTTACCCCCTGCCAGCTATGAATAGTAATGCATCCATTTTTTTCCCCTTAGAACTTGACTTGGTACTGCTGAAGGAACACTAAGTGGAACTTTGCCTTGAGAGCAAGTTAAAATTACTGTAAGCCCCAGTGCAGGCAGGACAGCGGTGCTCAGGCAGTACTTGCTCAAAGACAGAGTGACCAGCCAGCCCACAGCCTCAAGCTGAGAGCTGCTCCCCAGGTTAGGGCAGTAGGCTTTGCCCACAGGCCTCTGGCTGGGCAGCAGAATGACCCTGCTGTGTCACTGGCACAGGAAGCACTAGCAGGGGTCAGGCATGGAGTCACCACTTTGTGCCTGCATTGTCATCTTGCAAGGGGAAGCAAGGCCTTGCTATCAGGGAGGTCTGTTCTGAGTCAACAGAGAAGCTGACTATAAATGCTCCCATGAGCTAGAGAGCCAGAAGTCAGTCCATCTTCCACTTTCTTGGCCCATGCTATGTAAGAGCCATTGGGTAAAGATTCTTGAAAGCCCTGGGATGGTGTGTGTGTGTGTGAGTGAGAGAGAGATGCTGGGGTTAAAGCCAGGGCCTTGTGCATGCTAGGATGGTATTTCCATTTCTGAGAACTTCAGGCCAAGCCAGGTGCAGTGACACATGCCTTTAACCCTAGCTACCTGGGAGGCTGAGACAGAAGAGTGGCAAGTTTAGGCCAGCTGGGGAACTAAGAACTTCTTTAAAAACAACAAAGGCCCTCAGGTTGTGGTAGGGTTGGGTTCAAGAGTTTGATTCTAAAGGCCAAGGTGATACAAAGCTAGGTGACCAAAAATTTGTAGATGGCTATTAAGGACAATAACCTGTTGTGGCCAGCCCATGAGGCCTCCTGGGGTCTAATTCAGGAAAGAGAATGGGACAAGCTGACCTCACAGGGTTGCCCCTGCCCTACTATCCTCCAGAGTAAAATCAGATGCAGGATCCCATTGCGATTCTGAATTGGGCTAACCCCAGAGCAGGTACGTTTCCATTCAGGAAATGAGCAGCTAGATCAGTACTGCTGCTGAGGCACTGAGGTTTCTCAGGCCCAGATCTGGTTCTGGCAAGTCCAGCCCCAGCCTGGGCCAGGATTGTCACCTTGATTCAACCGAGGCTACAGATGAGTCAAGTCAGCTCAGTGAAGTTCCCATACAGTTGGGATCATTCTGTGGCTGGAGGACCAGCTGAGAGGCTTCCTGGGAAACAGGGTAGGGGATCAGTTTCCCTGGGCTCACACGCTTATAAAATGTACTCCCCCGCCACATAGCCCCTGTTTTGGCAGTGCTCAACAAGGTTACGCAGGTAAGAAGTGCTGCCTTTTCATCCAGAAGATGAAGATTTGTGCTCAGATATTCTGCCACAACTTCCTGTAGGAAAACTTGGGGTCCTCTTTCTGTAGTGCGTGTGCAACCTGGAAGTAAGCCAGTCTCAGAGCTGACAAAGGCTGGGTGTGGTGGCGCACACCTGTAATCCCAGTGGCTCTGGAGGTAGAGACGGGAGGATCGCAAGTTCAAAGCCAGCCTCAGCAACAGCAAGACATCAAGCAACGCGAGGAGACCCTGTCTCTAAACAAAATACAAAATAGGACTGGGGATGTGGCTCAGTGGTCGAGTGCCCCGGAGTTCAAGCCCTGATACACACACACAAAAAAAAGAGGTGGCAAAAGAATATGCCAGGGACTGGTCTTGACAGGCCTTACAAGCTTTGGAAGGAGATGACAGGGATAAGGCCCCAGAGGACAGCCTATGGCTTAAAACTCAAGGTCTCTGAGCCCACCAAACAAGACTTTTTTTGGTGGTGGTGGTGATCAGACCCAGGGCCCTGTACTTTGCTAGTTACGTAGGTACTCTACCACTGAGCCACATCCCCAGTCATACCCAGAATGTATTCTAATATACCCCATATGAATGTTAGCACCCACCATCTTGCATTTTACAAGAGGAAGCTGAGCAGTGAATACTCAATTGAGGTCACATAGCTCAGTGACTACAGCCCATGTCTCCTGCCACCCAGAATAAGTCCTTAACCCCTGCTCAATAGGAACCGCAACGCCCTCATTAACTGCACACATTGAGAGGAGGAGGTGAAGTGTCACCGACTTTAATAGACTCGAGTTGTGTCTGCCAAGCAGACTGACTCAGGGATGTCTGAGGGTTCCAGCTTCTGTAGTCCAACATGGCCAGTCCTCTAGGAGTTCCTGGCTCTCTTGTTAAAGGCACCAGCTGGCCTAGGAGAGCTAGACAATGGCTTTATTGTTTATGCAACTCATTAGCAGAGACCATGCCAGGGAGCCTCTGAACACAGCCAACAGATTGCCACTGGCCAACCCGGAAGATGTGCAGGGCTCCCCTACCCCAGCCTGATGCAACAAGAGCCAATAGTTTTAATCTACTAAATTGATACTTAATCTTTGAAGGAGAAGCAGTGGTTCACAGACTGCTTTGGAAAATATGCCAAAGCTATAGATCGCCTTGCCCCACCTCAAAAATAAATGCACATTTGCTCCAATTTTTCACACAATTTCAAGGGGTTCATGAATTTAAAAACAAATTGGGTAAAGAATTCTTGCGCTTGCACTTTTACTTGCTACTGTCTTTTCGATAAAGAGAAAATCCAGCAAGCACTCTGCCCTCTGCAAGGCTTTCTCTTCCCTCCTCCTGACCAGGGCCTCTGGGCTTGGCCAACCTCACAGGGCCCTTCATTTACAGAGCGGGCAGCCCTTCCTCTTCGGTTCTGCTGGGCAGAGCTGCTTCTTCCCTCTGTTTCTCCTCCCTGGATAAGTGTAACGTCTTCCAGGAGCTTCCCAACCTTCTGGAGTGTAGGCAAATCTGACATCCCTCCAGGATGTGGTCAGAGGCACCCACACTCTTCCACGATCATGTCTTTATGGTGCTCTAGGAGCACTCTGCCATTATCCACATACAGCATGCTCAGCGGCTTGGTCTTCACTGGGGCACAGCAGGTGGAAGGGACCCGATGGGGCTGGTAGCGTTTCAGCAGACTCTGGAAGGAAGGGGAGGAGAGTCAGTTCACATCCCTACCAGTAGGTCAGAAGAGTATTATTTCTAGGTAAGGAGTAAGAAAGTGAGAGTGGAAAATCATTTATTGGCAGGGTGGAGTAGCACATGTCCGTTAGTCAAGCAACTCAGGAGGCTGAGGCAAGAGGATCACAGCCTCAGCAACTTAGTGAGGTTATAAGCAACTTTGTGAGAACCTATCTCAAAATTTAAAAAAATAATAAAAAAGGGCTGGGGATGTGGCTCAGTGTGGCTCACTGGTTAAGCACCTCTGGACTCAATCCCCAGTACTAAAAAGTAAAAATTAAAAAATCAGTTTGTAGATGCAAAAATAGAAGAAAAATGATTTTCACGAAAGAATCAGCATCCAGCATGGCAATATATCAACTCTAACAGCTAAAATAGCTTTATGCAACCTAACCAAGAGATTCTAAGGCTCATGTTTCTGGGTAGAGCAGTAGCTAACTTACAAGTCCTACTGTTCTAGCCTAAAGTGAATACCAACTTTAAAAATATTCCAAGAAACTGCTGGTTTGGTTCCAGAATTATGAAGCAGAAGAGAATCACGTGGAAGCTCTTATAGGATTTGTTTTGTTGGCCAGCGAAGGGCAGGCAGAGTCAACAAGAAGAAAGGTGACACCCCCTTGACATTTAGGAACCTGTTCCTGTGGACATCTCTTCAGATCAGAGTGTGAGAGCTGGCACTGGGGACTGCCTGGGTTTCCGCTTGGTGGCAAGGCAGGGGGCTAGTGGGGTCAGCGGCACCTGCTGAGGCTCAGGAGGGCCTCAGCCTAGCAGTCCTCTGAGGCTGTGGCCCACCAGCGACTCCCTTGAGGAGCTTAGCTTACGTGCTCATGCTCCTCAGAGGCCCTGAATCTGCCTGGGACTTGGCACAGAGGATGGACTGCAGGTCCCAGAGATTCACTCCAGGCTTCACGGAATCGATGAAAACACTCCGAGAGAGCAGGGCAGGGCCACCTCAAACACCAGGCCGCCACATCAGGCTCTATATTCTCTCCATCTCATCCTCCCTCCTACACCGGTCTTGTCCCACTCCCTCTGCCACCTCCTAGCCCTTACGCTGACTAGTGGCCCCTGGTGGCAGCTTCTGGCCTTGTCTACTCCTGCGAAATGAGTACTCAGCTACAGTCTGAGGCAGCAAAAGTACAAGAGCTGTAACAGTGTTGTTTGTAACCATGGCCCTATAAACAGAGCCCCCGTTTCACTAATGAATCAAACACATCTAGTACCTGCCGCCTACTGTATAGGCTGGGTACCAATAATCTCATGAGCCCTACAGCCACCCTAAGGGATATGGCACTGCCCTCCCCATTTCACAGGTAGGAAAGCTGAGATCCAAGAGAATAAGCAGCTTTCACACAGCTAATGGGTAGGAATCAAAAAGACTCCTTCACAGAATGTCAGGGCTAGAGGGGACCCGAGACCCTCTGTTTTACCCCCACTCCCTAATTTTATGAAAGACAAGAAGTCCTAGGGAAGCCTGTGTCAAGGGTAACCCCCCCACATATGGCATGACTCCACACAGGCTCTATAGGGTAGTCCCCGAGTCCTCCTAGGCCCTCCCACAGGACCTGGCACGAGGTAGGTGCTTGAATGGCTATAATAGACTGAACGTGGTGATTTGACAGCAGAGCTGGAGTCCTGTCCCCCTCTCTGACAGCACGTCCCCAGGGCTTACTGCCTTGGCGTCACACCTGGATGTATGCGTGGTTGGTGGGGTGGAACTCCTCCCCCACGGGGTTAGGGCACTCGCCCTCGCAGCGGTAGGCGTTGTACTGCTTGGGGTAGATGATCCAGGAGCCCCACCCGATCAGGTTGAAGTCCACCTGGAACTTGACCTTCCGACACAGCTGGCTTCTGTCTGGCAAGTGATGCCGCCGGTGTCTCAGGACCCTCTCCCGGGAGAGCTGTCCCTCCTGGGCCCGCCAGGAGCTCTCAGCTTCCCACAGCAAGGTGGCGCCACCCAGCCGCCTCTGCTCCCGGGGCAGGTTGGAGTAGAGCATGAGGAGCACGCTGGTGCCAGTGACAGGGGGGGTGGGGGAGGGCTGCCAGCACTCTCTGGACAGACTGGACATCTGCTCCTCCAGTGCCCTGGGGTCCTTCAGCCATTTGGAGAGGGGCTTGGTCACCTCCAGGACCATGCTGCCCGAAGAAAAGGTGACCTGGGACAAAGTGATGGTGAACAGTTCCATCCGAAGACGCCTCAGGCAGTTGCCTGGGTCCTTCTCTGTGTCCAGTTTTGGCTGGTGGAAGATCTCAATGGTGAGCTGGCCCTCGGCGGGGAGGTCCACGGGGCTGGGCAGCTGCAGCCGGAGCTCAGCCCACGCCAGCTCTTCTTCTTGGCTCAGGAAGGAGAAATCAAAAGCAAAGGTCCAGTTCTGCCCATCCACCTCCACATCTGGGAAAAACCAGAAAAAAAGCAGAGTGAGAGTGGGTCCCCCACCTCAGTCCCATGTTAGAACCCTAACGGATGTCGACCATCTCTTACTCTCACCCCCACCCTGAGGAGGTAATGTTCTTGAGTCCATTTTAAAGATGAGGAAAATTAAGGCCCAGAGAGGTTGTCCATCTGGGAAGGTGACATAGTCAAGAGTCAAAAGTACATCTTAATTTCCTGATTGCCAAGTCCAAATCCCAAATCACTGCTCCACCAGTGAGTGCCCTTTTGGAGACAAACTGGTAAGAACTGGATCAGTCAGGCAAGAGGATCACAAGCCTAGGCAACTTAGCAAGACCCTATCTCAAAAATAAAAATTAGCCAGAAATTAGCCAGGTGTGGTGGCACACACCTGTGATCTCAGGGACTCAGGAGGTTGAGGCAGAAGGATCACAAGTTTGAGGTCAGCCTCAGCAACTCAGCGAGACCCTGTCTCAAAAAATAAAAAGGACTAGGGGTGGGCTGGGTTTGTGGCTCAGTGGTAGAGCGCTTGCCTAGTAGGTGAAGCCCTGGGTTCTATCCTTGGCACCACCTAAAAATAATAAATAAATAAATACAGGTATTGTTTCCACTTACAACTAAAAAAAATAAAATAAAATAAAGGACTAGGGATGTAGCTCAGTGGTAGAGCACTTGCCTATCATGCATGAGGCCCTGGGTTCCATCCCCAGTACTGCAAACACACACACCGACATACACACACACACACACACACAGACACACACACACACACAAACTGTATGAGTTCTGTCTTCCCCTCCTCTCTCCCCTTGCAGTCTAAGGCCAAAGAAAGCTTGGGCCTTCTAACTTAAACTTGGGCTTCCACTTGCCCTGTGACCTTGGAACAAGTCATCTTCTTGAGCTGTTTTCTCATTGGACAAGGTGATCTACTTCACAGGCACATTTAGCTAGATGCAAGTGTCATGAAAACCTCAGAGAAATAGATGCCAATGGCTGACCACCCTCTCCCCAGCCTGTGCCTAAGGAGCAAGGCAGAAACTTCGTTTTCAGCAGCCCTCCAGGTAGGTTTCTAAAGGTATTTGAGGCATGGCTTTTCAATGCTCACCCTCCGGGCTTCAGGTCCTTCACACACCTGGGGCCACACACAGCAATCACACACCACACACAGCCTTGTTCGACCCGCCAAGACAGCCAAGCCCAGACCAGGTGAGATGGGGGGGCATATTCCATTCATTTTAGTCTTGTACTAATTTTGTCTGATGTCTGGAACTAGCACACATTTCTGGATTTCAGCTCTCTTAATAATCTTGCTGGGCATGGTGGTTGCACACCTGTAATCCCAGCAACTTGGTGAGGCTCTAAGCGACTTTAGCTAGGTTCCATCTCAAAACTTGAAAAAACATTGGGGATGTAGCACACTGGTAAAGCACTCCTGGGTTCAATCCCAAGTACCAAAAAAAAAAAATAAATAATAATAATCTTTAACTTTTTTCCCCTCTTCTTTGCATTGGGAATAATGATGCACTGCTCACCTCTGTCTTATCACCCTGGGAAACAAAGAGATGTGATGGTTTATTGTAAAGAAAATCAGGGGTTATCCCTTAGAAATAAAATCAGGACCTGTAGCTGGTTCATGCACAGATCCAGGAAGCCATGGCGGTTACCAATTTAGATACAGTGGCGCACATAGCAGTTTTTTTTTTACTGTCCACAGAGCATCTGCCATCTCGTAACAAGTTTCTCTGGAATGTGACCTCTATCATAAAGGGGTAATTCCTAGCTTCAGCCTCCTCTCAGCTGCCCTTTTTCACTTAATTTCCACTTTTCTCCTAATTAGCACCTGCAGGGGGCAATAACCGGCCCCTGACTAGCAGCTCTCCCCAGAGGTGTGGGAAAGACGCCCATCCATGCATTTCCACTGCTGCATCAGCTGACCATCTGGGGACAGTGAGACACTGTGGCAACTCCTGGCCACCTGTACCAGCAGGCCTGCAATTTTAAAATATTTAATCTCAAGTGTATACAAATGGTGTTTTAGAGGAAAGTACTCTTGCTTAATGGCTAAGAGCAGCAGGAGCCCCAGAGTTTCTCCAAGATGGTTCAAATTCTACCATTCGCTGTTTTGCTGTTCAACACTGCTCAGGTTGCTTTCCTTCTCTGGGCCCAAGTTTCCCTCTTTGTAAAAGGAAATAGTAACAGTAACAGTGTCCACCCTACTGGGTGTTATGATTAACTGTACACAAAGTGCTTTGCCCAGCAGTTACCTAACTTCAATAAGCACTGGCTGTCTTCAAACTTCCTCATTATTGTCAGTGTCCAGAAGTTAGGCAGGGAGGTCCCTGGACAGGTCACATAGTCTTCCTGTAAGTGGGATGGGCAGTGTCACGGATGGGCAAGAAAGAGACCGCTCCTTCCTGTTGGAAGAAGTCTGGTGCCTTGCTCTGCCCCTAGAGGGCTTAAGGGTCATTACCATTAGCTACTTCCCAAGGTTGTTTTTGTTTTTTTTTTTGGGGGGGGGGGGTGCTTTTAAAATGAACCCAGGGTGCTTTACCACATTCCCAGCCCGTTTTATTTTTTAGTTTGATACAGGATTTTCCTAAATTGCTGAGGCTAGCCTTGAACTTGTGATCCTCCTGTCTCAGCCTCCTCAATTGCTGGGATTACAGGTGTGGTCATTGGGCTCAACTTCCAATAGCTTTACAAGAACCCTCTCCTCAAACCCTCCCCACTGTTAGCACCCTTTGAAGGTGAGGAAAGTGAGGTTGGCGGGGAGGTGAAACAGATGTATATCTAATTTGGTTAGACTCCAACTCCCATTTTGCAGTATTGTGCTACAGCTCGACAAATACAACCACAAATACAACCGGGTAGGAGGACAGCTGGCTTAGGACAGCCCTTCCCCATCCGCCCCCCTCCTGGAAGGCTCTTCCAGCAGCTTTTACACAACGAAGCAATCACAGGCCAACTGTACTGAATTTTATTGTGGATATTTAGACACACCCCCCCTCCCCAGAGAGCAGTCCCCTGGTCTACACAAGGAAAACCAGAGGAGTAGGGTGACTTGCTGGAATTGGGAAGCAGGGTTTGAGGGAGCAGAACCCAGTTTTCCAGATTCCCAGTCTGTGGAATCACAACCACATTTTCAAGAACTTTCCAGAAGGAAGTGAACCAGAAAGGTGTGCCCTCCCCCTTTCCTATCCCTCATCCCCGGCCACCTTCTGGTCTTCTGGAGGACCTGCCAGAACAAATTTCCCATTGCCTCGCCCTCCAAGGTGTCCCCAGCCTGGTCGGTCCCCACATGACCCTTCCGGAGAGGGTCACCAGTCGGCCAGCCGTGTCAACCCAGACGCGGCCGCCCAGGCCAGGGAGCTAGGAGCCCCGCCCCCAGGCCCAGAAGGACCGGCGGGCGGCAGGTCAGATCAGATTAGGGGATGTGGATTGCGCCCCGGCCCCGGGGAGCGCTGTCTGGCCCCTGCAGGCAGAGGGAGGCGCGGGCCAGGGAGGCTACCCAGGTGTCGGGATGTGGATTGCGCCGGGGAAGAGGTCCTAGGTCAGGGCTCCCCCTCCTCGGCACCCAACTGCCCGCTGCGCTCGGTGCCCAAACGCACTGCCTAGTCCTTGCAAAGATGTTCTTGGGTCACTGGGCACACCCGCATCCAAATTTAGCCTGGGAGTCCAGGGTCACCCGGGAAACTTGACGTCTCCCCGACCCGGGTTTAAGGCTGCCTTAATTCTCAGCTTCGTGACACTCCATCCCTAATCTTGGACCTGCGAGCCCTAATCCCTGATGCCACACCTCAGCCTGGAACACTCCCGCCGCCAGACTCCGCGACCCATTCACCCTCATTCGCAAAAAGAAAAAGGAGATTCGACAAAACAAAAATAATTACAGCGATAACGGCCCTTTGTTATTACTGTGCCCAGTTCTGTGTTGTTTGATGTGATTGTCACCGATCCCTTTCTACGGTCTTACAAAGAAGGCACTATTCTACCTTTTTACAGATGCGTAAACTGAGGCTCCCAGGTACGTAACTTCTAACACCGCGGCGGTGAGAAGCTGAGCGATCTGGCTCCCATCCTCCAGCACTGCGCTCTGCGCACCCCAAATCTGGACCTGGATGGCAGTGGTCCCTGTCGGGGTCATACCGGGAACGCTGGAATCCCCTCCCACTCGTCCGTGCCACCGGCCGTGCCGATACAGAAAAACACGCACAACCAGACCCTGGACGCGCCTTTCGAGCCCTGGGCTCGGTGAGCTCCGGACCACCCGGTCCAAGGCACCCCTCCGCAGTCCCAGCGCACTTCCGGAGCCCGCAGGCGGGTGGCTACCCCAGGCGCCCTGGGGCGCGGCAGGGTGCGGCGGCGCAGCCTACCTTGTGCCTGCAGACTGCGGATGATGTCCGCCCGGGGCAGCGGGTCGCGGTAGAGGCTCAGCATGTAAGAGAGAGGGGACGGCGACGAGGGTTGCCCCAGTGTCCGCAGGGGTACCTGGGCCACCGTGGCGGCGCCTGCCTGGAGCAGCACCCACCAGGCGTGCAGGAGGAAGAACTGGAGGCGGTGGGCGTACATGATGGGCTGGCTGGACCTGAAAGCAGCGCCTCCGCCCCTTATATCCTGGGCCTGCACAGCCGCCCCGCCCCCGCCATTCCTCCCACCAGGGAAGCTTTAAGAACCTATAACTCCCCTGGAGGGGGAAGGTGGAGGAGGGACCTCGACTGGGGGATGGAGAGATCTGAACCTGGGACGGCGGCCTGCAAAACCCGCGGGGGCCTTAGATCCAAACACCAGGTCTGGGCGCCCGGGCACCCTGCTTCTCAGTAAGAGTCCCTGTGGCTGAGACAGCAGGCCCCCAGTTCAGAATTGAGGCTTTCTTCCTCCTCCTCACCTGGGATCCCCGCCCCGTCCTCTCCTGAGCAGGTAGGGAATGTGGAGTGCCTGCAGATCTCAGCGCTCAGGCGGTGGCTCCACACACCGGGGATGCTGTGACCCAGCCTAGCTGGGTGCGGCCTTCTGGACACTGTGCACGTGAACTCGGGGAGCTTCCCTGGCTTTCTGTGGCAAGGCCTGTCTGGGGAGCCAGCCTACGGGAAAACGATTGGTTACTGGATACTTACAGCAACAGAGGTGAGCTCCAGAGGAAAGGCCCTGGGGACAAATGCCAGCTTCAAATACGGAAGTGCTCTCCTGGGGAAGGGAGGGCAGGAAGGACCAGGACGAAGCCTTTTCTATCTGAAGCTGGAACCTGGGGTGTAGCTGTTTGGGGGTGGGGGGGTGCTTCTTTATTCTGGTAACAGCAGTCTCTTCCCCTTCCCCCCACGAACAGGCATCACTTCAGGAAAAAAGGTGTTACCATGTCCTGCAGTCCCTGCCCAGTGGTGGCAAGGCCACAGGAGACCTCAAGCCCCCTCCCTTCCATCTCCCTGGACCCTGCTTACCTCACCTACACTGGAGTGATCCTTGCCTGGGCTCCCTCCCAAAGGAAGGGCAGGACTGGAATTACCTTTAAAGAAATGTAAATTCCTGCCGGCCAGTCTGTTTTCCTCCTACTGCAGGGCTTTCTTCTCTGCTGCTCCACACCCTGTTCCTCCTTTTCATTGAAAGCTGACCTTGTGCAAGACTCAGCACCAGGTGTCCACATACCGGCTGCTGTTTCACAGGATGCCTCCAGCCGAAAACAAAGAACAACAGATCAGACCTGAGCAAGGGTTAGAAAATGGAAAGAGGCTCAGCAGGTTCACCGGGGAGTTCCAAGGCTGGGTTCTCCTGAGGGGCTGACCCACCCAGCTGGACAGGGCCCTGCTCCGGAATCAGAGGCCTGAGTTTCCAACCATAGTCTGTGGTCAGTCTGCACACCAACCATCTGTGGGTTCCTCAAAGCTGGGACTGCCCCATTCATCTCGTTCTCCTGATATATATGAATTCAGGACCCAAAAAACCTGTGTGAAGTAGATCCATAAATTTCACTGTGTCCGGACTTGCCAGAGGATAAGTATCTCCTGAAACGTTTGTTACACTAATGATTACTGAATCCCATCCAATATTCAGAATTAGAATTTGGAGTGAGGGAGTGGCGATTTACATATTTAGCAAGCACCCCAATGATTCTTAGTTGCTCTGGGAACCTGGGTGGGCTAGGGTTCTACTTGCAGTTTGTAACTCCCCTTTCTAAATTCAGTTGTCTTCTGTAAAACAGCTGGAGATACCACCTCCCATGCAGATTAAAGGAAATGAATGTAAAAATACTTTGCAAGCTCTGAAAGCTGATATAATTATAAAGGATCATACATTTGAGGATTATTAAGGGTGTCCTTGGTTGTCCAATATCCCTAACCTGGGTGCTCACTGGGAATTTGGAGCCCTGGCCCTCTGAATCAGACCCCTCCCCAGAGGCAGAGATTACCTTCAGCATATGCACATATAAATCAGAAACAGACTGTGGTGAGTCCTGTGGGGTCCTTTAGCCCAGACAGGGACAGCAAAAATGGCACCACAGGAGGGGTTCCCACAGGAGACAGAGTCAGTTCCGCAACCCAGGGCTCCCAGATCACCATCCGTCCTGGAACCTGGCAACCCTGCTGTAAACAGGGCAGATCCACCCAGGGCAGCCTTGTCCACTGGAGAAGAGACCAAAGAAATGAAGCTTCTCCTTTCCATCCTGGATAGAAGTTTCCTAACATTAAGGATAAAGGTTTTGCATCTTGTGTCTCTTGAACAAGGTGGCACATAGTTTGGTGCTCCATAATTGAGTTAAAATTACAGAATTTATCCTTGTCCCCACTTCAGAGATGAGAAAGCAGAAGTTCAGAAGGAACAAGGTAAATTACTCAAGAACACAAATTTATGAGCGGGAACAGCATGTGAACGGCAGGACTGCAGGTCGCCCAGCTCCTGTTTCTTCCCCTGTTGCTTCCCCATTAGCTAAATGAGAGGTGAGTAGGTGCCTTCCACTAAGACGGGGTCTTTTGTTTGTTTCTGTTTTTTGCTGTGCTGGGGTTGGAACCCCGGGCCATGCACATACTAGTCAAGTGCTCTACCTGAGCCACCTCCTCATCCTCTAAGAGTATTTGAAGCTCTCAAGTCTTGCCTTTCCCAGGGCTGGTCACTGCAGACAGACCTCATTTCTGATGTGTATTGGCCCACAGCTGAGCAGGGGGCCTGGAATTTCTCTCTGACCAGCAAGAGCAACCGGACCGTCTGACAAAGCTCATCCATCTTGAAGCTTTCTTGGGTCTGGCCCTGTGAAGAACCCACGTCTCTGGTGCCCTTCGAGACAGAGGCTAACAGTCATCCTTCTCAATCTTAAAGGAGGCTAATTATTTGAGGGTCTGTTTCCTGCAAGGAAGAGCCCAAGTGAGTGTCCTTTTCCCAAGTGGGGAGTGGCACCTTCTCACTTCCCTGCCCCAGACAAACTGACCAGTGCATCACCTGACCTGGGAGATAACCTTTGAGCTCATCCCAGCTGGATGGAGGATGAGGGCAAAGTCCCTTGCTGTTCTCAACCGCTTTCCATGGGGCTGTTGGGGAACCCCCCCCCCCCCGACCTGGCATGGCTGCCTGCTTGAACTCAGGTCTCCAGGACGTGGGGTCTGGATTCTTCTACCTCACTTCCCACCAGGGTGAGGTCACTTATCATCTTGAAGCTTCTGCTTGCTCAGCTGTAAAATGGAGATCTATAATAACATATCACTAACAGAAATGTCCTAAGTAGGAAACATGTGTAAAGAACATAATGCGGGTAGCATTTGGTTATTCATTTATTTATTCATTGAACAAATCTGCGTATGCTCTGCGTATGACTCTGTCTCCTGTGGGAACCCCTCCTGTGGTGCCAGACCAGATTCTCAGGGAGTCAAGGACACATACTTAATGAGCCGGTTGACACCAGCTGCTTTCATGTATAGGCATGTTCTGCATCTGTGGATGTAACCAACCTTGGAGAGAAAATATTTGGAGAAAAACAGTCACATCTGTGCTGAACATGGACAGACTTTCTGTCTTGTCATTGTCCCGGAAACAATATAGTAGAGCAACTGTTTACCCAATCTTTACTTTGTATTAGGTATTGTAAGTAATGAAGAAATGACTTCAAGTGCCTGGGAGGGTGTGCATAGGTCATATGCAAATACTATGTCATTTTGTATGCGACTTGAGCATCTGCAGATTTTGGTACTCATGGGAGATCCTGACACCAATCCCCCGTGGATACTTAGGAATGGCTGTATGTATTACACTCTGGAAGCCATAGAAGAGGAGTTAGATAACAAGTTGGAGAGTGGAGGACATTCACCTTGTTACAACCCTCCAGTGTCTACCCCAGCTCCTGGCATGCACCTGGGTAATGAATAAGTGTTTGCCAAGTGATTGAATGAACTTCTAATTCCTGAATGAACTCCTAATTCCTGAATGAACTCTCTAATTCCCCGACACACTTGCCTTTCACGGGCTCTTCCTTCTGTTTCTACTGTGTCTCCTGCTCATTTATGACATAGTTTAAAAGTTCCCTCCAAGCTGGGTGTGATGGCACATGCATAATCCCAGATCCTCAAAGCTAAGGCAGGAGGATGGGCAAATTCAAGGCTAGCCTCAGCAATTTAGGGAGTCCCTAAGCAACTTAGGGAGAATCTGTCTCAAAATAAAAAGGGCTGGGGATGTGGCTCAGTGGTTAAGCACCCCTAGGTTCAATCCCTCTACCCAAAAAAAAAAAGTTCCCTCCTCTACAAACCAGTCCCACCTACCCCACAGCTATTCAGCTATTTAGCAAAGTCCCCTTCAAAGTAAAGCAGCATAGAGCAGTTGTCCAAACTCCCTTTGGTGACAGCCACAGAACTGCAAGCTCCCTAGAAGTCGGGATGGCTCCCAGTTCATTTCTCTCTGAAGCCTCAGCCCCGGGTTCCTAAGCAAACATCACTTGCTGGGACCTGCGGCCGGAGCCAATGAGCGGTCCCTCAATGGCACCAGCGGCTCGCTTGTACTTTCAGTGTGTGCCCACCCTCTGTTGCCACACTGCTGGTTTCCTAGGCCGACACTCAGACTTGAGAGGTACTGTCCAGGCCATTGCTGGGCACTTGTGGCTGTGACCTGGAGGTAGAGATGAGTCCCAGTCTCCAGTCCTCCCCTCCAAACCCCTCTTACCTCAGATGTGCTTCAGCTCAGCAGGATCACCTGTCTGCACCTGAAGCTCCAAGCTGGTCTTCCTTTGCCAGATGATTGTGCCTCGACTTTATTTACACAGAATATGTAGCTCAGGGACCTTCCAGGAAGCCTTCCTCGGGTCTCCCTCTTTCACGTTCTGATCCCAGACCTTCTGCGTTTCTGAGACAGCAGGACTGCTGGCCCGAAACTCAGAACCTGTCTTATTGCCTATCTTCTGGCCTGGCTTATTCTGTATTCTCCAAAGCACTAAGCGAAGGGCCTGGCATTTGGCAAATGGAAGGTATGAACTGCCTGCAGCCAGGCTTGATTGATAGCAGTATTTTTTGTCTGTCCCCAACTGTGTTTTTTCAGGTTTTATTTGATTTTTTTTTTTTTTTTTGGTACTGGGGATTGAACCCAGGGGCACTTTATCTATGAGCTAAGTCCCCAGCCCTCTTTTATTCATTTTTCATTTTTTGAGTACCAGGGATTGAACTCGGGGGCACTTGACCACTGAGCCACATCCACAGCCCTGTTTTGTATTTTATTTAGAGACAGGGTCTCACTGAGTTGCTTAGCCTCGCTTTTGCTGAGGCTGACTTTGAACTCGTGATCCTCCTGCCTCAGCCTCCTGAATTTCTGGGATTACAGGCATGTACCACCAAGCCTGCTATTTTTTAGTTTTTATTAAATCACCAATAATGAAAATTCTTAAGATTTTATATAAAATAGGTTGCTTCTGTTTTGCATTATTGGAGGAATGGAAAGTTCTGAGCCCTCATTTCAGCATGGTGAATATTCCCTAAAGCTGACCAGTTGCTGCTTCCTTTTGGCAGGGCCTGTTCTCTTAAGTGTGCCACTGCCCCCCACTCCCTAACTCATCACGCCTATTGGCCTAGCCTGAAGAACGAGTGCATTTGAGACCCTTGTTATGTGTTGGATGAGAGAGAGACACCCTGGGATAGGAAGTCGAGACTCACATTGCAGGCACCTGGCCCTGTCTGGATGAGCTAGCTGCACTCTGTTATTTTATTAGCATGAACCATAATGTGGTTGTGTCACCTAACTTACCCTCCTGTCAGTCCTAGATCCAGTGTGAGATTCCATCTCACAGGTGAGGAAACCGAGGCTCAGGGAGGTCAATATCTTGCCCCAGGGGACCACCTACCTGGTGGTAGTGCTGGGATTTGCCCTGGGTCATTCTGAATTAGGAGTCCAGACTAGATGCTGTCATGTCCCCAGGCATGTCCCTTGCACACAGAGGCCTTTCCCAGATCATCCCCTTAAACCTCCTGGGCTCTGTCACATCACCCTGTTCACCTGTTCCACAGGCTTCCACAGCGGCACAGTAACTTGTCTTGTTTGGTGCTGTTTGTTTTCCAGTCTGTCCCTGCC